GGAAAAGCATTGTTTGATTAGAGATAGTCAGCATGGCTTTGTGAGGGGCAGGTCATGCCTCACAAACCTTATTGAATTCTTTGAGGATGTGACAAAATGCATTGATGAAGATAGAGCAGTGGATGTGGTGTATATGGATTTTAGCAAGGCATTTGATAAGGTTCCTCATGGTAGGCTCATTCATAAAGTAAGGAGGCATAGGATTCAGGGAAATTTGGCTGTCTGGATACAAAACTGGCTGTCCAATAGAAGACAGAGGGTGGTAGTGGATGGAAAGTATTCAGCCTGGAGCTCGGTGACCAGTGGTGTTCTGCAGGGATCTGTTCTTGGACCTCTGCTCTTTGTGATCTTTATAAATGACTTGGATGAGGAAGTGGAAGGGTGGGTTAGTGAGTTTACTGATGACACGAAGGTTGGTGGAGTTGTGGATAGTGTGGAGGGCGGTTGTAGGTTGCATTGGGACATTGACAAGATGCAGAGCTGGGCAAAGAAGTTGCAGATGGAATTCAACCTGGAAAAGTGTGAAGTGATTCATTTTGGAAGGTTGAATTTGAATGCAGAATACAGGGTTAATGGCAGGATTCTTGGCAGTGTGGAGGAACAGAGGGACCTTGGGGTCCACGTCCATAGATTCCTCAAAGTTGCCACCCAAATTGATAGGGTTGTTAAGAAGGTGTATGGTGTGGTGGCTTTCATTAGCAGGGGAATTGAGTTTAAGAGCCGCAAGGTTATACCACAGCTCGAGAAAACTCTGGTTAGACCACACTTGGAATATTTTCTGATGAAGGGTCTAGGCCCAAAATGTCAGCCTTTCTGCTCCTATGATGCTGCTTGGCCTGCTGTGTTCATCCAGTTCTGCACCTTGTTGTCTCGGATTCTCCAGCATCTGCAGTTCCTACTATCTCTTGGAATGTTGTGTTCAGTTTTGGTTACCTTATTATAGGAAGGATGTAGAAGCTTTAGAGAGGGTGCAGAGGAGATTTACCATGATGCTGCCTGGACTGGAGGGTAGGTCTTATGGGGAAAGGTTGAGGGAGCTAGGGCTTTTCTCATTGGAGTGAAGAAAGATGAGAGGTGACTTGATAGAGGTGTACAAGATGATGAGAGGTACAGATGGAGTGGATATCCAGAGACTTTTTCCCAGGGTGGAAATGGCTATCATGAGGGGGCATAATTTTAAGGTGATTGGAGGAAGGTGTAGGGGAGATGTCAGAGGTTGGTTCTTTACACAGAGAGTGGTGGGTGCGTGGAATGCACTGCCAGCGGTGGTAGTAGAGTCAGATGCATTAGGGACATTTAAGCGATTCTTGGATAGGCACATGGGTGATAGTAAAATGAAGGGTATGCAGGTTAGTTTGATGTTAGAGTAGGATAATAGGTCGGCACAACATCGTGGGCTGAAGGACCTGTACTGTGCTGTACTGTTCTATGTTCTATGTTCACACGTCACAAGGTTATAGTCCAACAGGTTTATTTGAAAACACCAGCTTTTGGAGCCTCACTCCTTCTGCAGGTGTTAGTGAGAGAGGTAGTATCAGACACAGAATTTAAAAATAAAAGATTAAAGGTTCACACCACTGATGAGGATGTATTAAACCTAAGATGCTGTTAAATCTTTAATAAGTTAGAGGGTTTTAGCTGATGAATATGTATATGTTAATTCCCGAATTCCTTTCAAGTCATGGCCCTTAGCACGCGTGCGCACACGCACACGCACACACACACACACACACATCCCCTCTCATACACACACTGCCTCTCAAGCGCGCACACACACACAGATCTCTCATACACACACTCAAGCACACACACACACATTCACTCTGTCTCTCTCTCACACACACACACAGATCCTATCTCATACACACTGCCTCTCAAGCACACACAAACACACACTCATACACACGCACACACAGATCTTCTCTCAAACACACATTGTCTCTCGAGCACACACACACACACACTCTCTCTCTCTCTCTCCCACAGACACACACACCCCGAGATCCCCTGTCATACACACACTGTCTCTCAAGCACACACACACACACAAACACAGATCCTTTCTCATACACACACTATCTCTCAATCGCATACACACACACACACACACTCAGTCTTTCAAGCACGCATGCACCACACACACTCTCACTCTCCTCCCCACACACACATAAAAACACAGATCCTCTCTCGTCCATACAGTACCTCTCAATCGCATACACACACACATACACACACACACATTTTACAAATTCCTACTGTAGAAATAAAATCAATCTGACTTCAAACTGAAACACAAACAGATTCTAAACAAGGCCTCACACCTAACATGCTTTGTCTGACCTAAAATGTCACCTCTTCTTTACACTGATAAAACCTCTAGTTCTCTCAGAGCAGTGACTTGAAAGGAATTCTGGGATTTACATATATTTATTAACCAATGAGGATAGAAAAAGAAAGATAGGCCAGATGAATGTGTGGCTGAGGAGCTGTTGTCGGGGGCAGGGTTTTCATTTCTTGGATCATTGGGATCTCTTCTGAGGTAGAGGTGACCTATACAAGAGGAATGGGTTGCACTTGAACTGGAGGGTGTCCGATATTCTCGCCAGAGATTTGCCACTGTTACCCAGGACGGTTTAAAATAGTGGGGGGGGGGGGGGGGGGGGGGGGGACTGTGTGTAAGAGAAGGGCCATTGAGAAGTCAGGAGAAAATACATTAGCCATCAAGAACAGTTTACTATTCAGGATAGCCAGGGGCATGGTAAAGGGAGGGAAAAGACTTATGGTTTAAAGTGCATTTATTTCAATGCATGAGGCCTAATTGGCAAGGCAGATGAGCTCAGAGCATGGATTGGCTCTGGGGAATGGGATATTATAGCCATAACAGGAACATGGCTGAGAGAAGGGCAGGACTGGCAGCTCAATGTTCCTGGATACAGAAGCTACAGGTATGACAGAAGTACAAGTAAGTGAGGAGGGGTGGGGGTTGCCTTTTTGATAATGCTAGACATAACGAAAGTGCTTAGAGAGGATATTCTTAAGAAGTCATTAAATGAGGCCATATGGTTGGAGCTTAGAAACAAGAAGGGGGTGGTCACTCTGTTGGCACTGTATTAAAGACCCCCAAATAACCAGCGGGTACTAGAGGAGCAGATGTGTAGAGAGATTGCAGATACCTGTAGGAATGATAGAGTAGTATTGGTTAGAGATTTTAATTTCCCCTGTAATGACTGGGCCATCTAGAGTGTAAAAGTACTAGACGGGGTGGAATTTGTCAAATGTATCCAAGAGAATTTCCTAAATAAATATGTAGAGGGTTCTACATGGGAGGGTACAACACTGGACCTCCTCTTAGGAAATGAGGTTGGGCAAGTGACTGAAGTATCAGTAGGAGAACACTTTGGGTCCAGTGACCATAACTGTCTTAGTTTTAACATAGTTACAGAAAAAGATAGGACAGGTCCACAGGTTAAAGTGCTGAACTGGAGCAGGGACAATTTTGGTACCATTGGGCAGGATCTAGCAGAGGTCGATTGGATGAGTCTGTTTGAAGGAAAAGGAACGACTGGCAAATGGGAGGCTTTTAAAAGTGTGATATCAACAGTCCAGGGACAATATGTCCCTGTTAGGGTGAAGGGAAAAGCTAGCAGGTTTAGGGATCCCCGGCTGACGAGGGATATTGAGGCTCTGGTCAGGAACAAGAAGAAGGCACACAATGGCTTAAGCTATCAGGCTGAAGTGAATCCCTAGGTGAGTATAAAAGGTGTAGGAACACAATCAAGAGGGAAATCAAAAGAGCAAAAAGAGGGTATGAGATGGATCTGGCAGATAAGGTTAAAGTTAATTGCAAGAGGTTCTATAGCTATATTAAGAGTAAAAGGCTAGAGAGAGAATGGATCCCCTTAAAGATCAGCATGGTGGAGTACAGGAGATAGATTTTTAATGAATATTTCTCCTCAGTATTTACTGATGAGAGAATCATGGATGCGAAGGAAATAAGGAAAACAAGTGGCGATGTTTTAGACTGCATTCATATTACCAGAGAAGAGATGTTCGCAGCTTAAAAGCGCATTAAGGTGGATAAGTCCCCTGGGCCTGATCAAGTCAATCCTCCGATGTTGTGGGAGGCTAGGGAAGAAATTTCAGAGGGCCTTGCAGAGATTTTTGCTTCATTGTTAGCCACTGGTGAAATTCCGGAAGGCTGGAGAGTGGCTAATGTTGTTCCATTGTTTAAGAAAGGTAGCAAAGACAAGCCAAGGAACTACAGGACAATGGGCCTAACATCAGTGGTAGGCAAGTTATTGGAGAGGATACTGAGGGACAGGATCAACCGACATTTGGATAGTCAGCATGGATTTGTGCGCGGGAAGTCATGTCTGGCAAATCTTTTAGCGTTTTTTGAAGAAGTAACCAAGAGGATGGATGAGGGTAGGGCAGTGAATGTTGTCTATATGGACTTTAGTAAGGCCTTTGACAAGGTCCTGCATGGCAGTCTAATCAGGAAAGTTAGGTTACATGGGATCCAGGGAGAGCTAGCTGATTGGTAGGAAGCAAAGGCTGATGGTTGAAGGTTGTTTCTCGGACTGGAGGCCTGTGACTAGTGGTGTGCCACGGGTCGGTGCTGGGACCTTTGTTATTTGTTATTTACATAAATGACCTGGATGTGAATGTACAAGGCATGATTAGTAAGTTTGCGGATGATACAAAATTATTGTTGATAGTGAGGAAGGTTTTATTAAAAATTACAGAGGGATCTTGATCAGATGAGGAAGTGGGCTGAGGATTGGCAAATGCACTTCAATACAGATAACTGTGAGGTGTTGCACTTTGGAAAGTCAAATCAAGGTAGGACTTATACAGTAAATGGTAGGGTCCTGAGGATTGTTGAGGAACAGAGGGACCTAGGAGTACAAGTACATAGTTCGTTGAAAGTGGCGTCACAGGTAGACAGGGTGGTGAAGAAGGCGTTTAGCAATGCTGGCCTTCATCGGTTGAGGCATAGAGTGTGGGAGTTGTTACAGTTGTATAAGTTGTTGGTCAGGCCGCATCTGGAGTATTGTGTACAGTTTTGGTCACCCTATTATAGGAAAGACATAGTTAAACTGGAAAATGTGCAAAGAAGATTTACGAGGATGTTGCCAGGACTAGTAGGCCTGAGTTATAGGGAGAGGTTGGCCAGGATAAGACTTTATTCCTTGTAATGTAGAAGAATGAGGGGTGACCTTATTGAGGTGTATAAAATCATGAGGGACATAGATAGGATAAATGCATATAGTCCCTTTCCCAGGGATGGGGAATTGAAAACTAGAGGGCATAGATTTAAGGTGAGAGGGGAAAGATTTAAGAAGGACCTGAGGGGCAACTTGTTCACGCAGACTATATGGAAGATGCTGCCAGAGAAAGTGGTTGAGGCAGGTACAATAGCAACATTTAAAAATCATTTGGATAGGTACATAGATGAGAAGGGTTTAGAAGGATATGGACCAAATGTGGGCTCAGCATAGACCAGTTTGGGCCGAAGGGCCAGTTTCCATGCTGTATTACTGTATGACTCTATGACTAACTATATGGACAGGTGATGGTGCTTTGTCCAAAAGTTAAACAATTTAATTTGAGAATTAAAATGCCTGTTTTAACTTTGAAATAAAACTCTGAAAGTAAATGTTTCAACTAATACACTTGCCACTGTTATCTTTAATCATTGTTCTCTTATTTGTACCTTCTACATTTTTGCCCTGAATATACTGAAAGAGCCTTGTGAATCCCGAATACATCGCAAATTCCATTAAGAAGGACGTAGCGTTGGTAGCAACCCATTTTGAAGCATTGTAATGACGAACCTACATGTGAAGCACCAAAGGAAAGCAGAGATTAAACGTTAAGCAGTCAGTTCAACTAGCTAAAACTCCAACTGTATGACTTCGGCAAAGCATGCCTTTATTCCAACTACATGATTTTGACTGTGTTTATCTACATTAACTATTTTTTCGGTTATCTTAGTGTGTTAGTTTGAACCAGATTAATTTTTGTTGTCTGGATCCATGCCCATCCAAAACTGGTTTGAAACGACCTGATTTCATACCATGTAAGTTGCTTACAGCTGGCGAAGAATATAAACTGCCATTTGATAGCCTTATCTGGATCAAGTTCAAGTCCTATGCAATAGTGAAATAACTGTGTCCTCACTTAACGACCCATTAATATTTTAACTTCTCCCTTTCAGGCCTTATTAGTTATTTCATAGAGATTGAATACATTTTTCAACAATTGCTTATTGACATATTATACAGCACCTATTGTTTTAAAGATCAAAAGAAAAATGATCAAACCAATAATTATTTTTCAAATTCTATTTGTCTTGGACAAGCAACAATCAAAGCAAAACAAAAATGTCCAATTCTGGAGATATGAACTTCCCAGCTTTCTTACATGTTACATACTTTGTTCCTTTATTCTAGAATTGAGAATTAGTTCTGAGCTCTGCTTCTCACCTCATAATCTGGCGTTTCACATACGACATCATAATTGAAGCATTCCTTTACTTCATTGCATTGAGCTGGTTTAGAATCACTGCTCAAAGATAAATAAAAGAACAAAAGTAAATATTAGTTAAACCATTCTTGACCACAGTTTCTGCATCAGCATAGTATGCCGTCTTAAAATAATGCTTGCATTTGTGACAGGTACACCATTGAAGGTGCTTAAGAGATGCATAAAGATAGGAAGTTTGATCATTGATATATGAATTAAGAAGGAAGTTTCCAGGCTTGTTCTGTCTTGTGTTCTAAACACTTTGGGCCATTTGGCATATGACTGAGAGGGGCAGTGAAAGGAGATAGTTAAGTCCATCTATTCATGTTTCTTGTGTAGAAATTGTCTCCTCGAGCTGACTTGAATGCCTATAGGGAATCAGGGGGCATTTTTGATTTTTATTTGGAGTTTTTTCCTCTTATTTTTGTCTCCTTCAGGAATTCACAAACAGTTTTAGGAGGGGTGTATTGGGTTGCCTCATCAAATGGAAAGAACCAGCATTGATCAGCATAATTATCTCCCCTATTTCCATAAGCAACCTTAGTGAGAATTTTAGATAACAAGGTGTAGAGCTGGATGAACACAGCAGGCCAAGCAGCATCAGAGGAGAAGGAGAGCTGACGTTTTAGGCCTAGACCCTTCTTCAGAAATGGGGGAGGGGAAGGGGATTCTGAAATAAATAGGGAGAGATGGGGAGGCGGATAGAAGGTGGATAAAGGAAAAGATAGGTGGAGAGGAGACAGACAGGTCAAAGAGGCGGGGGTGGAGCCAGTAAAGGTGAGTGTAGGTGGGGAGTTGGGGAGGGGATAGGTCAGTCCAGGGAGGATGGACAGGTCAAGGGGGCGGGATGAGGTTAGTAGGTAGGAGATGAGTGTGGGGCTTGAGGTGGGAGGAGGGGATAGGTGGGAGGAAGGACAGGTTAGGGAGGCGGGGACAAGCTGGGCTGGTTTTGGGATGCGGTTGGGGGAGGGGAGATTCTGAAGCTTGTGAAGTCCACATTAACACCATTGGGCTGCAGGGTTCCCAAGCGAAATATGAGGTGCTGTCCCTGCAACCTTCAGGTGGCATCGTTGTGGCACTGCAGGAGGCCCAGGATGGACATGTTGTCTAAGGAGTGAGAGGGGGAGTTGAAATGGTTCGCGACTGGGAGGTGCAGTTGTTTGTTGTGAACCAAGTGTAGGTGTTCCGCAAAGCAGTCCCCAAGCCTCTGCTTGATTTCCCCGATGTAGAGGAGGCATATCTGGAACAGCGGATACAGTATACCACATTAGTGTTGCAGGTGAACATCTGCTTGATGTGGAAGGTCTTCTTGGGGCCTGGGATGGGGGTGATGGGGGAGGTGTAGGAGCAGGTGTAGCACTTCCTGCGGTTCCTGCAAAATGCACAGGATTGGGTTTAGGTATTCTGTGCCACAGTCAAATAATTTGCCAGTGAGAATTTTCACAGATTTCATCATTCAGTGTACATAACTAGCAAGCATTTCTGGCTAACTATGAAGAGTGAATATCCTAGATATTTTGTATTCTTTGTTAACTTGAACAATGTGGCCAAATTTCAGGCCTGTATCATTGGTTTGACTGAGATCAGTTGAAAAGAAAGAAAGCCTTACGTTTGTATTGCAGTTTGCACAATAATTTGATGTTGCAAAGCACTTTACAGTCAATTAAGTGCTTTTAAATTATAGTCACTATTGTAAGAGGGCAAGAACCTGCCTGACTTGGCTGAGCTATTCACTAAAACATTGAGCAGATCCTAAGTGAGCTTTAAGTGTATAAGCTCTGTAATTTTGTTATAAACCTAGAATTTTCCTTTATATGCATTTGATTTGTTAGCACTTTTACAGTAGAAAATACAGGCTAAGTCTTCATCTGTTTGCCAGTTAATGACAGTTTTCTGTTTTGTAAAAGGCTGAAGGATATTCCATCGGTATCACTGATGCTACTCTTTGATTAACCATGAGAAGGGGGTGGTAAAATGCCAGTTTTACATTACCCGCAACAGATTGTTTCACCTTGTAGAACAATCTGTCTTGTACCTGGACAAAAGCTGACTGCATTGTGCTTTTGCTTATTAGCTTCTTTCCTGTTCTGTTCCCTGAAGGCACTAACAATTCTTGAATTACAACTCTGATGTAATTAACATCCCCTAGTACTTTGACAGTTGGCCACTCTTCAAATGTGAGTCTAGGCAGTGATGTTGGCAAATTATTTGACTGTGGCACAAAATACCTAAACCCAATCCTGTGCATTTTGCAGCAATGGTCAGTTGATCAGAAGCCTGTGTTTATTAGCAATTCAGAGCAAGGTGAAATACAGATCTCATTACACATTCAGCTATGCTGCTATAGCTGCAGAGCACACCATTGGTGCTTCTAAACTACAGTCTCCTATTATTAATTCTTTGGAAACATTATATTTCATACCTTATCCCAGCTTCTGTCAGACTAAGGAATACAAAGATAATTAGTCCAGACCAGTACCTAAGGGAAGAAAAATAGAACCAATGTAGATAGATATAGATATAGTACCACATATTCAGTTTTCATTTTGAAAAAAAATCTTGGAATCCTTCAATAGTTGTATCCATTTATTAAAAAATGAGTAAAGTAAAAATCAAATCAAATAGAAAACTGTAATAGTTGGCAAGAAAAAAGTGTAGTAGAAGGTAAGAAGGGTCTGTTTCCATGCTGTACATCTCTCTGACTCTGTTAAAAGTCCATTCTACCTCTAAGCTCCATCCAGTATGACTGTTCTCTGGCACTTTTGTCACTCCCTTAACTGGGCTAGCATTTATTGCCTATCTCTAATTGCCTCTTAGATCAAGAGTAGCTAGCAAGGTATTTCAGAAAGCATTTAAGATTCAACCACATTGCTGTAAGTTTGAAATCATATGTAGATCAGATCAGGTAAGAATGGCAGATTACTTACCCTAAAGGATATTAGTGAACTAGGTGAGTTTTTATAACATTCAACACTGTTACGTTGAATCATAGAATAAAATCTCCACAGTGCTTGATTTTAATTCCAGATTTTTGTTGAATTCAAATTTCACCATCTGCCATGGTATTTGAAGCCTCGAGCCTTAGTCTAGGGGTTCTGGATGTCAATGCTACACCAGTACATCCCCTGTGGCAAATGTATTTCAGGGATATATGTAAAGGGGAGTGTTGCTGAACAAAGAGACCTTGGAGTGCAAGTTCATAGTTCCTTGAAAGTCAAGTCGCAGGTAGACAGGATTGTGAAGAAAGCATTTAGTGTGCTTGCCTGTATTGATCAGTGCATCGAGCATGGGAGGTGGGAGGTCATGTTGCCACTGTACAGGACATTGGTTAGGCCACTTTTGGAATACTGCATGTATTTCTGGTCTCGCTGCTACAGGAAGAATGTTGTGAAACTTGAAAGGGTTCAGAAAAGATTTGCAAGGATTTTGCTAGGGTTTAACGGTCTGAGCTATAGGGAAGGGCTGAATAGGCTGGGGCTGATTTCGCTGGAGCATCGGAAGCTGAGGGGTGACCTTATAGAGGCTTATAAAATCATGGGCATGGATAGGGTAAATATTCAAGGTCTTTTCCCTGCATTGGGGAGTTCAAAAATAGGTTCAAGGTGAGAGAGGAGTGAGTTAAAAGTGACCTCAGGGGCAACTTTTTCATGCAGAGGGTGGTGTGTGTATGGAACAAACTGCTAGATGAAGTGATGGAGGCTGGTACAATTACAGAATTTAAAAGGCATCTGGATGGGGATATGAATAGGAAGGGCCTAGAGGGATAGGGCCAAATGCTGGCAAAATTTATTTAGGATATTTGGTTGGTGTAGACGAGTTGGACCAAAATGTCTGTTCCTGTGCTGTACATCTCTATGACCCTATGACTTTATTTAACTTTTTTAATGGAAATAAAGATATAGTCATTAGCTGCCACTAATACTGCCAGTAGATCGCAATAGAAGAAGTCAAAAATGTAAATAGAGTGCAAAATCAGCTTAACTTCTATTACAATTGGACTACATTTTGCAATCAGTGGCGAAGCAACAGTGTTTGATGCTGACCTTGAAGAGAGTTGCCCAGGACATAAGGATCTATTAGTCTCTTCTGGTGCGAATTTCACCTTTCCCAATATTAGCCTCCCACAGTCCAAAGATGTGCAGGCTAGGTGGATTGGCTATGCTAAATTGCCTGTAGTGTTCAGGG